GTGAGGTAGTTCACTGGCGTCCGTGAACCGTCCAGCCTCCTCTATTATTCCAGTTTGTTTACTGAATCAGACAGACTTATGTATTACTTTCTTCAGACCCTTGTTGTAGTAAATGATTAGACTGTCTGTGACAGCTGTGACACTCCTTTCCTGGGTAGAGGATCTTTAATAGTATATTTCGAAGTTTTGCATTTATAAAATATGTTAAGTCTTCCGCATCGTTAAGTTATAAATATAATCAGTTGATGTTCCTATTAAATTAGCTGTTGATTCTTTCATTACATTGCTACAGGAAGTGTTTGGTTAACTGTTTATCGTGTGTTTTAGTGGCTTGCCTAGCTCCCACAGTAGGAACCATCACGACCCCGTTGGTGGGAAATTCGGGTCGTGACACTTATTCAGGAGGTGGTCTATTTTGATTGATTTGACATTGGCATTGGCATGTAATAACTCTAATACTGCTTTTCTTTCATCTTTAGTTTCTCTTTGGTTATGTATATATTTCTCATTTTCCCTTGATGCATATATTCATTTTCTCCTCGGTTTGTATATTCATTTGTCTTACTTTCCGTAGTTTACTTCATAGCTTATGTAATTTGTTTTTCTTAGTAGTATAACTTCTTATTTACTTTAGTACCTTATTTTTATTTGTTAGCTTCTTTTTACGTTTAAGTGAACAATAAGCCTTTTGTTTTCTTAATGACACGGTTCTTTCCAAAAGATGAGTATTGTGTGAACCGGGTGGCTCTTCCGAATGATGGATGGTGTGACAACCTTCTTAAGTAATTGAGTCCATTTTCTTTTATGTTTTACAAAAATCACAGTAATGAATAAAAGGGTATCAATCATGCTTCACTTGGTACCAACATATTTACCTACGACCTTATGGTTAAAAACAAGTTGCTGGCAGAAAATAGCTCTAGTTGGGTCATTTTGACTCTTGTGTTGAGTTAGACAGTCATCGAGTGGTTCAGTCGAGCCATTTATGATTCTCAATCTTCACTATGGTTATTGTGGGCCCTCGACTCCGTTCTCTTTAGTAATTCGGCAGTATGAGAGATGAGACATTTAGCTGCAAGTCCAAGTACCCGTGCTAATAGTCTAGAACTTGCCCTAGATGTTTTTCTAGGTGAAATTCTAAGTGTAGTTTGTCTTGAGAAATAATTGTAGACTCTCCTTGATCTAATTTGAAATTTAAAATATTTCATAGCCTACCACTGTGATATCCCTAGTCAACCAATTTGAACCTAAGCCCTATTTCTTTTAATAACCACATAACAAGCCTTTATCCATTTTATAATGACCCTCTCTTGACACCCAATCTTTCCTTAGCATTCTTGAGAAACAATTGGCCGAAACATAAGTTTGGGAGAGAGACGAGGAGTTTGAAAGTGATATAAGGGTACGAAGAAGGAGAAAGAAACGAAGAAAAGGGAAGGCAAAGGAAAGAAAGAAAGAACAAAAAGAAAATGCCACAAAAGAAAGTGAATAAAGTAAAACAATTGAGGGGATTTAAAGAAGAAAAACAAAGATGAAAGGCATGGAATAAACAAAGAAGGAGGAAATGATTATCATGACCAAGAAAGAGTGACCTTAAGTCTCTCTAGTTCCCCCGAGCAAAAAGAAAATGATTCAAAGAGTCGACAAAGTAAGAGCCAAAAAGGGAATGGAGTGCTTAAGGAAAGATGAACCCATTCTATTCCAAAAAGTCCTACTTTGGTCCAAAAGCCTCCATTACATACCGAAAAATTCCTACATAATTTGAAGTCGAGTGAGCTTATATTAGTGATAATTTCCTTAAGAGGCAAGCATATGGTACTTAAACTCGTACTTGTAACATTCTTTTGAGAGAGATAGGCAAACTTTTCTCAAATCCTTGAATTGAGTGCTACATTCTAAAATGAGATATGCAAATGAAGAGTAGAGAAGGAGAAGTTGGAGATCCACAATGACCTACATGAAAAAGAGAGCTTCCTTGATGCATAAAGTCAACTCTTGATGCTCTAGTGTCACATTAGAATTATTGTACGCAAAAAGTCTAATCATTGTATTGTTGATAATTCATATGTGTTGTGAATAATTGTTGGCCCTAATTAATGTGTGATTTATTCACCTTAGACCTACTAAATAGCCCTTTTCTAGTGGAGGTGGGAATTGCCTTAATTGCTTGAAGACAAGAAAAAGCTTAAGTTTGGAAAAGTTGATAAGTAGGGACTTTGATTGCTTATTTGCTATCTTTTACTTGTCTTTTAGCTCAAAAATATCTAAAGCTATTCCCGAGAACTAATAAAATGTGCTTTATTGCAGGGGAAACGAGCCAAAGAAGTAAAAATCAACCCAAAAAGAAGCAAAAATTGGACAAGGACAAAAACAAGGCAAAAAGGGTCACAGTGCGGACCGCACAATATTGTGTGCGCCAGCAAACTCTGAAGAAGCGCTAATGGAATTTCCTCACAAAGTGCGTACTGCACACTTATTGTACGGGCACATAAAACAAGCTTCAAAGAACTCGCATGTTGGGAGATCGAAGATGTGCGGATCGTACTATTATTGTGCGGCTGTAGGATGCCAAGTATGACTTCACTCATAATTGTACGGTGCACAGTAGAGGAGAATAAGAGAGCCAAGTTTTGGAAGGCTGAAGATGTGTGGACCACAATATTATTGTGTGGCTGCAGGAAGCCAAAATGCAGTCTTGCTCATAAATGTCCGGTCCGAATAATGAAGGCCAGGTATAGTTCAAGTTTAAGTGTGGGGCTGCACTCAGAAATGTGCAGTCCGCACAATTGAATGAAGTGCGGTCGCATTCGAGTTTTATGCGACCGTAGAAAGCCCAATTGACCAGTCAACATCAATATGTGGACGGCACATAGAATTGTGCGACCGCACAACCTTCGTAGGGCAATTTTGTCAGATATTTTCAGCTTAGTATAAATAGACCTTTTTGTCATTTTTAGGTTATGTTTTGTATGTTTGAAGCACTTGATCTATTTTTATTTATTGTATTAGGTAACATTGTACTAGATTAGCTTTTAAACATCATATTTTCTTACCTTAATCAAGTGTTATGAATTCTATCATAGTTTCTTCTTTAATTTATGCAGTTTTCATGAGTAGCTAAACTCATAGCTAGGGTTGTGACCCAGCCCTAGTATGGGTACTTAATAGGTGATTGATTTAGGGCTTATTTGTGATTGGGTATATGATATTTAGCCCAGTTTTTGCTTGAATTTGAGAATTAATGATTGTAAACATTGATCCATGCCAAATTAACTTAGTCTCTACTTGACAAAGAGAGACTAAGTCTAGAAAAACTTTCTAACAAGAAAATGGTATGAACTCAAAAAATTGATAGCCGTAATTAAAGGGTCAAATATATATATAGTAAGACCCGGCTTGAGCACATATCACTTGTTTTGTGAAATACCCATTTGAACTTGAGAAAGCCAAATTGGAGAAAATCACTCAAACTACTGAGAGGTATAGAGTGAGTAATATCGCGGGTGATTACTATATTGTATCCCGATCAACCAAACATGTCCTAAAGTTCTCAACCCGGTAGGTATCCATCTAGGCGGAAGTTACAACCCTAGATCTTTTATAACCTGAAAAACAACAATACCAAAAATATTGTCTCTTAGATTTTCAATTACAAGCTTTTAGCATACAAACTAGAAGTAGAAAAGAAACAACTGAATATGTGAAAGTGCAATCTTGGGCATGTCGTCATACATTAGACTAGGTATATACATAATCCCACATAAAGCTCTCTATAAAATTGACCCCGACTCGTGTTGGAAATTTATAATTGCATCGACCGGCTCACAATCCCAATTAGTGGTGTGAGTTTGGGCAACATCAATATGCCACCGAAAAGTTGGGGGACTATCTATAGTAAAATTGGTTTATAAAGTGATTGAATGGTAGCATGACATGTGGAACCGAAGACAAGTAGTAAGTAAATCAAGTAACAACCCGTACCGGGACCAACAGTTGTGGTTGGAATCGGATAGACCCCGAAGGGAGCATGATCGACGAGAGCAAATCGAATGCTTGTCGTTGGATACTATTCAATGAAGAATATTTCTTAGCATTATGGGTAGCCGTTACAGAGAATATGTGCATTCATAGGCTGCCTTTATATATTCATCAATGGCCCAATTATTATTATTTAAGAAGAATTAGATCCTAGGGTCTTGTTTCCCTATGTATAACTATAAATAGGAGCTGAACAACCATTTTAAAGGGGAGAAATTCTGGGAAAAATTTATGTAATATTTCATTCTCAAGCTTAATCAGATAATTTTATTTTCTCTTTTACATTGTTCTTATTCCATTCCTCAGAGGCATTGCTCTCAGAGTCAGCCTTGTCATTTCCTTCGATTTTAACCGCTAAGTCTTATTTTCTATCTTGTTTATTTATATTTTTGGATCAAATAATCAGTTCGCTTGTGTATAAATTACATAACAAATTTAACTGTACCATTTTAGGGGTAAGCAGTTTGTCGTCCACACTTTCTAGATATTGTGGTACTTTTATCTTTTCACTTTGTCTATATTTGCTAAATAAGTGATATTTTGCCGCATCAATTGCATGCATTTAAAAAAAAAAAAAATTATCTAGAGAACCTCAAATGACCAAGAGGGCTCGATCTTTAAGTCATAACTCGGAAGTAGAAGTAGATTCACAGATCCAATTTAACTCAACATTCTCGAGTTCGAACATTGATAAACATATTAAATCACAAAAGTTTCAAAAGTTACTACGTGCATATTTTTATTTGGACCAATAATTTCAGAAATATAATGATTCCATGAAAACCTAATTAAGTCTGAAAATAATTCATTATATTTAAATTCTGAATCTGCCTATAATTAGAGGTCTTTGAATACATTAGTTATCTGTATATATATCTTGTGCAAATTTTGCATTTTAAGGAAACTATGACCATAGACAGAAGGAAAGGAGTGTTTAGGAAATTAGAAGAACACCAAAGAGATATATTATAACGCCATTGTGTACCAAACATAATTACATAATGTCTTTTATTCATACATAACACAACAAGTTTTAAAGTAGAAAGAGAATTACTATTACAACTTTACCATTACAAAGGTTTTATATCTTACACGATGATCAGTGTTGAGGCTTCCCTTCAGTCACTTTATCCATGGCCTCACCTTTGTAGTAGCAACACCTGCTGCAGCCGTAGTAATTGCGGCGACCGCAACAACCATAGCGGCAGTATCCTCCACGTCCACCACCACCGCGGCCACCTCCTGGGTATCCACGTCCACGGCCACCACCGGGGTATCCGCGGCCTGGGTATCCGCCGCCAGGGTATCCACCGCCGGGGTAGCCACCACCTGGGTATCCACCGCCAGGGTAGCCACCACCTGGGTATCCACCGCCAGGGTAACCACCGCCGGGGTAGCCACCACCGGGGTATCCGCCACCAAGTTGATCTTCACGCACTTCATTCTTGTTATCAGATTTCTTTGCTGCATCAATTGTGTGAAAAAGGTATGTTATTACTATTAGCTGTTTTATTCTTGTACTAACTCTAAACTAGCAAAGGGTAGCCCGGTGCACATGAAATTCCGCGTTCATGCAAGGTTCGGAGAAGGGTCGCACCCCAAGGATATAATATAGACAACCTACCATAATGCAAGCATTCACGATTGTTTTCACGGATCGAACCCGTAATTTATAGATCAAATAGAGGCACCTTCACCATTACTCCAAGGTTCCGGTTCAAACTCTAAACTAGAAATTAACATAATTTTGCCGTAATCCACATCTTACAAGTTTACTTTCTACATGTCGATAGTGAAATGTTTTTTGCATTATTAGGTCGAGCGTAGAGATCATATAAGATTCTTTTACATCGTCAATATATATAAGTTAAATCCTTTATTTATATGTACCTTTTCGTGATAAAGCACATTAATGATAATATTTGCTATATTCAGGTCAAGTGAAATACTATAAACTTGCTAAGAGTCATGTTCAAGCTTGCATTTAGGAATGACAGACGTGTAAGTCTAAGGGGTTGATTGGTATGATGTATGAGGAAAAATAATGCATATATTATTTTTGGTATTATTATTTCCTTGTTTGGTGATATTTTTCAAACTAATACTTATGTTAGTTATATACCATATTCATTATTCATATGATATATGGCAAATCATGGCATTGGCAATATGTACCATAGTTTTAAATATGTAGATAAATATGTATAAAGGCAGAATTGCTCTTTCAAAACCTTCAATTCATCAAACAAAACAATCGACAAAAAATAATCCTAGCATATCTAATTCCACTATTACTAATCCCAGCATCACTGACACACCATATTCAGTATTATACCCCCAAGTACTTGCTTTATAGGAAATAATATCTTTACTGCAAGTTGAAAGGTTAAATAATTTTACCTAACGTTATATTTTTATAGTCAGAATTTAAAGGAGAAAATAATGGAAATATGCTTACAGTCCTCTTTTGTAGTGGTGGAAGTCTCAGCCAACTCCCTAGCTAAAACCTCAGAGCTTATCATTACAAAAATAGCCAAACAAAGGCCAAGAAACAGAAATGCCTTGGAACCCATTTTTCTTTTGTAGCCAAGCTTAGTTACTATGATAATTGAAATTAAAGGATGGAGAAATTGATGCATCATTGGTCTCTATTTATAGTAAGAATTGAATGCATTTCAGATACAAGGGAAGGACATGACTTGGAGGTGTGAGGGGACAATACACAGGGTGCATTTATGGAGTATGTTGACCAGTATTTAGTTGGCAAGTGAAGAGAGTAATGAAGAGTCTTGATTTCACTATTGAGTTGGCAAAAATTATTAATATTATGATACTACCCTTCATTGGTTCCCCATATCTCGTTTTCTTTTGGATTTAAGTTAAATACACTAATCTTTAAAATGTAAGTGATAGTGTGGTTTGATGTGTGAACGTTACTGTGTTAAAACTAAAAGACATAAAACTGTTAGAAGAAAATATGAAAATAATAGAGAATCGGAAATATTCCGAATCCACAAGTTTCTTGTGTGTCCTTAAGGAATTTTAACCTCCTCACACGTTGCCAAGGCAGTGGATTGAATCCTCCCAGGATAAAACAGAATGAACCTTCCTGCAACAGTGGCAATACAAACTGCAGGATACCAACGAACTCAAAGAATGGAGCAAAATCACACTTACGAGTTTGAGAGAGAGATATTGCGAATTAGGATACAATATATTCATAAAGAAAGCTATTCTAGACTGATTTTTCGTATTTCTAAGATGCAGCCTTGCCTCAAAATTTATAGGCAAATATCAAAAGAGGTGTATGGAAAGTTTCCTTTTCAGAAAATACGCAGCCCGCCGCGGTTCTACCGCAGACGCGGCAGAACGGCGGTCAGAGATGCTCTCTGATTAAATCTGTCACGGTTCTACTGCGATCGCGGCAAGAACGCGGCCAACGAGGTTCTTTGAACTTTCAACAGGGTTCTGGTTCAGCAGTGATTTGGCATTTTAATTAATTATTAAATAATTAAATATATTTTGTCCAAAAATAATCTTATCGATCGATCATTTGACAAATCCAAATCCAAATCCAAATTCAAAGCCAAAGCCAAAACCGAGCCGAGCGAGCGACGATGACGGCGTGAGGGTTCATTCTCTTCAACTCCTTTTAAGAGCTTGAAGAAGTCATTCTACATATAAGCACCCAATTGTGGTTGTCCCTCACCAATGAGGGACAAAGTGCAAGACAAAAGTCACTTTTTCAAATATTCATTTTCACTCCATTTTATTTCTCTCTATTTCCAACTCATACTTCTTCTACTTTAAAGCCCAATGGCTTAAAATCCAACAATCCCCCATATGAATGGGAATGGTTGTATCAAGAAAGATTATAGATGAAAGCTATATGATTTTGCAAGTAAGGATTAATCGCATCTGGATAAGTAGGTTTCCCTTTGAATTTTACGTAGTGAACATATGTCGGATATACTCGGTCAATCGATAGATTTGATATCTTTGAACCGTCGAACTTTAGTGTATACCTAGACAGTCATATGTCACACAGCCAACCCTTATCCGTCTTTTGGTTCTCATTGTTGTGTTCGCTTTAGCGATGAACACCTCCCGGTTTCATAAGCGCGTAGAGAATTGGCCTTACAGAATTCTCCTTGAAGCGGCTTCCACTTCACACTTACATAGGTGATTCCTAAACGTGTAATCCTTTAGATTGATTCTATTTGATAAATACCTCATCAAACTTAGGTAATCATTAAAGAACGTGTAAAGTTCTATCCTTGTTACTGAACATTGTCTTCATTACGAGAAAGGACCAAAGTGTTTATTTTGATAACGTTGAACTGGTCAATCACAACTTTGTTTGAGCTCCTTCAACCTAGATCTCGGAACATCCAAAATTCTAGGTAGAGTTACCGCCATGTTAACTTGTCCTCGACCATAGTCCCATTCCCTTAGATGATTTCTCAAATCCCTCTCTAGTTAGGCCTTTTGTAAGCGGATCCGCAATATTATCCTTTGATCTTACATACTCAATGGTGATAATTTCACTAGAAAGTAGTTGTCTAACGGTGTTATGTTTTCGTCATATATGATGAGACTTTCCGTTGTACATAACGCTCTCAGCCCGTCCTATTGCAGCCTCACTATCATAATGTATGCAAATAGGAGCCAAAGGTTTTGGCCAGAACGGAATGTCTTCTAAAAAATTCCAAAGCCATTCAGCTTCTTCAACGGCTTTATCCAACGCTATAAACTCTGATTCCATTGTAGAGCGAGTGATACGCGTTTGTTTATAAGACATCCAAGATACTACTCCTCCACCAATAGTAAACACATATCCACTTGTGAACTTTGTTTCTGTTGAGCCGGTTATCCAATTAGCATCACTATATCCTTCAATAACCGCAGGATATTTATTATAGTGCAAAGTGTAGTCTTAGGTATACTCCAAACATCCCAAAACTCATTTGATGCTGGTTGGGATTACTTGTGAATCAACTAAGTTCACTTATTGAACAAGCCATATCAGGTCGTGTACAGTTCGTAATATACATTAAGCTTCCCAACACCCGAGCATAATCCAATTGAGACGTACTTTCACTGTTATTCTTCATAAGATGATGGTTTAAGTCAATTAGAGTTCTTGCACTTTTAAATTCCAAGTGTTTGAATTTTTCAAGTACCATTTTCACGTAATGTGATTGAGACATAGCTAGACCTTGAGGAGTCCTTTAGATTTTAATTCCTAGAATTACATCGGCAACTCCTAAGTCTTTCATATCAAATTTACTAGCAAGCATACACTTAGTAGCTTGAATGTCAACAATGTCTTTGCTCATTATTAGCATATCATCAACATATAAGCAAACAATGACTACATGATTTTGAACGTTCTTAATGTACACATTTATCACATTCATTGATCTTAAAACTATTTGACAACATTGTTTGGTCAAATTTCGCATGCCATTGTTTGGGTGCTTGTTTTATTCCATAAAGAGACTTAACAAGTCTACACACCTTCTTTTCTTTTCCCGGAACGACAAACCCTTCAGGTTGGTTCATGTAAATTTCTTCCTCAAGATTTTTACGAAGGCTGTTTTTACATCCATTTGATGGATTTGAAGACCATACAAGGCGGCTAACGCAATTAGCATCCGAATGGATGTAATTCTCATTACTGGCAAGTATGTGTCAAAATAGTCAAGACCTTCTCATTGTCTAAATCCTTTGACAACAAGTCTTGCCTTGTATTTGTCAATAGTACCATCGTCTTTCATTTCTTCTTAAAAATCCATTTAGATCCCAATGTTTTGTTACCTGGAGGAAGATCGACCAATTCCCAGGTATGGTTGCTCAATATGGAATCTATTTCACTATTGACAGCTTCTTTCCAATATTGCGCCTCTGAGGAAGACATTGCTTCCTTGAAGGTACGAGGTTCATTTTCTAACAGAAAAGTCAGAAAATCTGGACCGAATGAAGTAGATGTCCTTTGACGTTTACTTCTTCTCGGATTTTCCTCATTAGGCATACCATCGGTTATATCCTCCCGAGGTAATTTTGACTTTTGGTAGGTCACTTCACTTTCTGTTCTATACGGATAAATAGTTTCAAAGAATTCAGCATTTTCTGATTCTATTATCGTATTAACGTGAATCTCAGGATTTTCTGATTTATGAACCAGAAACCGATATGCCTTGCTATTGGTTACATATCCAATGAATACACAATCAACCGTTTTTGGACCAATCTTAACCCTTTTAGATTTAGGAACTTGTACATTAGCTAAACACCCCCACACGTTGAAGTATTTCAAGCTAGGCTTCCCTCCTTTCCAATTTTCATAAGGAATGGATTTTGTTTTACTTTGAGGTACACGATTGATGATTCGGTAAGCTGTAAGTATAGATCCCCCCACAAGTTTTGTGGTAAGCCATAACTTATCAGCAATACATTCATCATCTCCTTCAATGTTCGATTATTTCTCTCCGCAATTCCATTCGATTGTGAAGAGTAAGGGGCAGTTGTTTGGCGAATAATGCCCTTTTCCAAACATATTTCTTCAAAAGGAAATTCATATTCGCCACCCCTATCACTTCTTATCATTTTTATCTTTTTGTTTAGTTGCATTTCAACTTCATTCTTGTATTGCTTGAAAGCATCAACTGCCTTATCTTTACTGTTAAGTAAATAAACATAGCAATATCTCGTGCTATCGTCAATAAAAGTAATAAAATACTTTTTCCCACCGCAAGATGATGTTGACTTCATGTTACAAATATTCGTGTGAATTAAGTCTAAAGGATTTTAATTTCTTTCAACAGACTTATAAGGCTGCTTAGCATACTTTGATTCCACACATATTTGACATTTGGAATTAATGCAATCAAATTTTGGCAATACTTCTAGATTAATCATCTTTCGCAATGTTTTGAAGTTTACGTGACCTAAACGTGAATGCCATAAAATGTTTGACTCAAGTAAGTAAAAAGAAACATTCTCTTTATTGATAGGAACTGCTATTACATTAAGCTTAAAAAGGCCCCCATTCAGGTAACATTTTCCTACATACATATCGTTCTTAGTAAGTACAACATTAATGGAAACAAAAATACATTTGAATCCATTCTTGACAAGAAGTGAGGTAGACACAAGATTCTTGCGAATTTCTGGAACATGAAGGACTTGGTTTAGAGTCACTGTTTTTCCCGATGTCATCTTCAATGCAATATTGCCAACCCCTTCAATATTGGACGTAGATGAATTTCCCATGAAGATTGTTTCGTCGGGTCATGAGGGGGCATAAGAAGAAAATATTTCCTTATTAGAACACACATGGCGGGTGGCTCCAGAATCTATCCACCATTCTTTTGGATTTCCTACCAAGTTGTATTCAGACAACATGGCACACAAGTCCTCCACTTCTTCTGCAACCATGTTGGCTTGATTCTTTTTCTTCTTTGGCGCACGACACTCCATTGCCTTGTGCCCAGTTTTTCCACTGTTGTGGCAATTACCCTTGAACTTCTTCTTTCTTGGGTAATTCTTTGGTCCGGAAGGCTTCTTCCTCTTCTTTTTTTGTGGTGCTTCCTCAACAACGTTTGCCTCCATTATTGTTG